ATTGAAGGCAAACCCTTTTTGAAAAAACCTAGAAACATAAAAGTAGTCGCTTTTTGGACAGAAAGTAGACATTCTAGCCTTGTTCCTGATAATAATGCTCAAATGACCTGATAATGCTCAAATGAAACCCCCCAGCAAATAGTCTGTATCCAGGCAGGTAACTATAAAGATCTCAAGGACCGAACATATTCTCAAAGATGATATGTTGTTACTGAAATTTAAAACCAAAGAAATATCTCTTTCCATTTTAAGATAGTAAGATAGTCGGTTTTCATAAAAGTTGGACATCACTTAGAAAATATCGGCACAAGTGTGAAATGGACACCCTGGTGTTAGGCAAGGTAAAACTGAGACAACAACATGATTGAAAAGAATGGCTCGAACCATTTCATTTGTTTGAATTTAAACTTGGATACTATTGGAAGTATCATTTCTAGCCCCTGAGACCCAGCATCCTTGACTGGAAATGTTTAGACAACATGATCTCTTGAAATGATGGTCTGGACAATTATGAGATGCTTTTGAAGTCAAAAGAACATTTCAAAAATTGCTCAAGAGACCTGCTCTTGTTTTCAAATGTTTTGTACCTTTCTTTAAAAATGTTCTCCAGGATGAGGGCCAACAAGGAGACCTAAGGGGCAGCCTGCAGTCAAGGGCACTCTAATGACCTAAGTCTGATACCCAATCCAATGGTGGGAGAAAGAACTGTCTCCTGAATGTTGTTCCGTGACCTCCACACATACATTCATGTGCCTAAGCACCAATATTTATGCACATAAGTGCATATAATAATGATCAATTAATTTTTTCTGTATAATGAAATCTTCCATTTCTAGTACTCCAAGTTAGGAAAACTTCCTTTCTAAAAAGTAAATTTTCCTTAAGAATAAAAAGTTGTTTGTTCTCCTTTTTATCTGGCTCTGGAATTGGCTCTATAAAGTCCTACATGATGTGAGTTTGAGGTTATGGAGGGCTTTTGTCCCTAAGAATGTTTGTCTCATTATAGGACATTAAGTGTCCTTGGACCTCAATTGCCAAATGCCACAACAAGCCCCCAAATGTTATGAGAATCCAAAGAATAGAAGCCACAAATTTGGAATTTGTCCCATTCCAAATCCCTTGCTGAGAAAAAGAGCATCTCAGTTGAGAAATCAGGCCAGTGTCAGTTTTCACTCTGCTCCTGGAAGCTTGCTCCTGAAACATATAACTGGACGGTTGCCAGAAGCCACAAAGGCCGAGCACAACCACCTTTTAACGGGGACAGTAAAAGAGTATATAATACTTAAAAGAGGGCATTGCCCATGGCTTCTCAGAGAAACTGGGCTTCTTGGTTCTGCAATAACTAAGGAGCTGAAATTCAGGCAAGTTTTCTGAGGTCACTCATTAACTAGGGCACATTCATTGTACGAGAAACAAGTTTTAGAACCCAGCATGTCAGCACAGCTTAAAACTATGCTTCCTAATGATATTGACCATAACTGTTTGTCATTTATTGATTGATTAGAAGTACTTTGTAAATCTGATTTCTCTTTTCTACAGCTATGGAAGTAATATCTATAGTCCTCTGATATTTGGGGAAGAGGTCAATGGCCTCTCCCAGCTTACGACATGATAGAGCCGGGATTCTAACAGAAATTCACCAGGCTGACAAATTCACGTCCATGAACTCAAGTTCACTACGTTGGCCAGCATCCCTGGAGTTCTTTCATTTGGCCTTAGTTTAAGTCTAAGAGAAGTTAAGTGAAATCTCCAAGATAGGAACTCGTTTCCAAATTGACTCTATAAAAACTATCATTTTGTAATGTATTGTGCTGGGCATGTTATCCTTCATCATTGTGGGGACTGCACCCAACAGGGCTACCTCATTAACTGAGGAAAATGTGCCCTGTTGTCTCAGTAGAGACAAATCAAATGGAGAAACAGAAAAACAAGCTCTGGAAAATGCTCCTGTGTTCTTTCATTTATGGGATGGAGTAATCATTCCTTCTCTGATTCCAGCCACCTAAGAGTGTTTTCCATATGTAATTGCAGAAGTGTGTAGAAAGGGATGGAAGAGGTTTCACAGAGTAGCCTCCAAAACTCTGTTATCAGTGCTTCCCTAACAGTAAATTGGGGCATTGAGCACTCTTAATATTGGTCTGTTTTACATTTTTCTCATGTAGGAAACTACTAGTTGCCTCAATTGGTCCTAATTCCCTATGAGAGATAACTGAAAGTGAATGAGACAATTAGGTTTGTAATATTTTCTCTTACTGAAAACAACTTCAAATGAGTGTTCTTCACTAAATGCACTGAATGCATTTAAAGCTATCTCCCAGCTCTGCATTAACAGAAATATTATGGATCTGATCCTTCTGTAATTCATTCTCTGTAGAGAATCCAATGTGACCTATTCATGTTTCAAACACATAATTTTTATTTTGTTTGTCATAAAATTAAAAGTTCTTTGTAGACCACTAGGCCTCCATGATCTGCTGCTCCTTATTTCTCTAATTATGGTCCATATAGCCTTGATGTATTGTATATTATGATGATGGATATGATAGTGATGTTGGTAACAAGGACAAAAATGATGCTTTAAAACAGGTCTCGTGTATATTGGGCTATTCTTGAAGTTGCTATGTAGCTGATGATAACTTTGAACTTCTGACCATCCTGCCTCTACCTCCCAAGTAGAAATTACAAGTGTCCATCATCATTCTAGATGCTGCACATATTCAGTACTGGGGATCAACTCCAAGGCTTTGCACAGGCAAGCTTCCCACAACTGAGCTTCAACAGTCTGTGTGCTTGACGTTTAATGAACACTTTCAATATTAAAAATGATCTTGTCTATCCTGTCATTTGCGTACTTATTTCCTGCTAAATGTATGCCAGAATGAGAGGTCTGGGGCAGCAGGAAAGCCCCTATCATACTATGTTAGAACTCAGAATGTAGTGGAATTCAAAAGCACCGAGTGAGTGAGTGATTGAGTGAATGAATGAGTGAATTCTTAACTCTTTGCCTGGAGTTAAAGTCTAAGAATCATCCCATAGGACACAAATTTAGTTATTGAAGTGTCTAGATATAAATAAATATGGGACATTAGAAAATGAAAACTATATATATATTTTTTTCTTTGTTTTGTCTGTCAAGAACAGGAGTCTTACTGAAAAGTTGGACTAGCCATCAGGGGGAACCAGGAACTGCTTTATAGAGGATACGTATCAGAGCATGTCATTTGTCTCTGGACTCCATCTTTCCTGTCATGAGATTTAGAGTTCCTGCTTATTCAGGCCGGCCCCCATAAGTGATTACCAACATTTTCCAGATCACCTTCAGATCATCTCCAAGTTTCTGTTTCACACCCATATCCTTGTTCCGTCACATGTGAAAAAACATTTCTGAACATTCCATTGAGCAGCAAACTTACTTCCAAGAGGACTTCACCCTTGGCGTTCCTCTCACAGTAGTAAACTTGATTTGCCCTAAGTCCTTGGGTTTCTAAAGCCTCGATTCGTCCCAATTGTCCTTTTATTGAGTTCACAGACTGCAAATGGAAAAAGGCTATTACCAGACAGAGATGTTTAAAAATGAAAGCCAAACTAATACATGGAGTCCGACAACTGGGATAAGGAATATAATATTTATAAAACTGAGTAGGAGGTTGCAATCATTGCTTTAAAATAAAGCATTAAATATTAATTCAGAGCAAACCTATCTGTGCTCTGGCAAGCCTTGCTTTCATTAAAGTAGCATTGTGTGTTTTTCTGGAATTAACTCCCAAATAGGTAAATAGCTGGGGAGTAGAGAGCGTTCTGCTGGCTGCAGAGGAGCTACCTGCAGCATTAGAGTCGTCCTTACCATTAAAGTCTTCCAGACCTTCACTTTGAACTAATTAATTGTGATTCTTATGGTTTCTCTCTAGTTCTTGCCCTTGAGTATTTCTAGCAATGTTTAATTCACATACTCATGTTCATCTTCATTTGATTAATCCAAACGGTGCTACATTATTTGATTAATTCATATGCTACAGAATATTAAATCTTAGTGAACATTGGGTACCAGTTATAAGTTGGACTTATATTTCTTTCCACTGCTTTCTCATTTCAAACCTTTCTGTCCTCATTTTTTCCCTGATTTGTGCCCGTTGTTCACTTCGCATTGGCAGTTTTTGTATTATGTTACTCTCCTCATTTTTTTCCTAATCAGAATGCACTCAAAAGAATGGAAACTTTACCATGCTTCTTCTGCATCTTCAGTGCAATGAGGTTATTATTTGTTATCTGCTCAATGAATAACATTCCTCTAAAGCACGATAATTAATAATCCTATAATCCTTAGTTTTATTGATTTTCAGACAATTTCAAAAAAAAAAAAAAGACACCCAAGTGTTGTATTGACAGTCTGCACAGTCCTCAGGCAGTCTCCATGGAACAAGCAACAGCCAAAAATCCAAAAGTGAGCCTGAGATGGGGGAGATGTGATCACTGCTCCACTGGACAAATGGGTACTTAACCGTTGACCAGTGATGACAGGCCTGCCCTAGTTCCATGAGGCCAAAAGCAAGCAGTTATGATTAAAGAAAAAAGAAAAAGAAAACTGTTCTGAGCCTTCTGAGCATCGACTGGGGATTAAAGCATATGGCAGGGAAGAGGAAAAAAAGATTTTCCTTATGCTAATGACCCTCGATGTCTGAAATAAATTAAATCCATTAGAGTTTATGCTCAATAAAAGAAAGACTTTAAGCACTCCAAAGTTAGTGACTCGAGACCAGTTTTTGCTCTGAAATTCAATCTGCCTACTTATTAATTCTTAGTGAGGCTCCAGAGCAAATGGGGGGCACAAAAATCATAATTCTATAGTGACCCGAAATTTTAAAGGACTACAGGTTTCTTTTCCTTTTTTTCTTTTGATTAGACCATTTTTTTCACACTTCCTATTTTGTTTTCATTCATTAATTTGATTTTATTCCCATTTCAGTTTCATTGTTTTGTTTATTGCTTTTTTTCTTTTCAAGGATTCATTTACCCCATTTCAACCGAGCACAGAACCCAGAATGAATATGGATTTTCTTGTAAGTTTGACGTTTGGATTTTATGTTGGGAAATAACCCTTAAACATTATTACCCCCATTCAAGTTTGCCTTTCCTTGGCTTACAGATGTGCACATGAGAAATAGGAGCCTAATGTATTCTAACACGAAAAAACAAATTAGATTTCCAATACTGAAGAGAAGAAAGGGTCATTTCAAGTCGCTGCCAGCTTTAAAAGCTATCAGTCTACCATTGAAAACATGCATCCCCGTCACTGAGAAAACATATCATGAAATTGGCTGGTATACATAAAGGGCAGGGTTCAAATACTAAAAAGGAACGATTGAGAAAATGCAGATCTCTTGAGCTATACATCATGAATGAGTCCTGGAAAGCATTAAGGATTAGATATACTGTTCTGACCAGAGTTACAAATTCCTTTACAGGGTCTCCAATAAAACCCCACAGCAGAGTAGAGGCAGCATTTTGACAGCAGTGCTCGCATAATGAGGAGGGTTGGGATGCTGAAGAACTGCTGTCGATCAGTATTGACTGGATTGAGGGGAAAGTTGAGATACTGGGAAGGGTGATGTTTTCTTAAAGAGGAGTTTTCCAGGCATAAATTTATATAAACTGCCAGTGTAATTAAAGACTGAGACACAAGAGTGTGGGTAATTACTGAGAACCCCTGGCAGATAAAATGATGAGTTATTTCCACATGTAAACCATATGGCTTTGTGTCTTAGGAGAGAGGGATGATTTCTCAAATCTTAGATCACAAAAAAACTTATAGATTTAAAAATCTTCTCCCCTGCCTCCCCAAAACGTATATTTATATAAATTGACCATGACATTTGGAGTTCTCCTTGGCTACCAGAAGCATCAACTTCAATATCTCTTTTTCCAGTGAGGAAGCTGCAGCTCTGTTTAATTTGCTCAATATTTTTGATGGGTCTAAAAGGAAAGGCTAAACCATGTCAAACGGAGGCAACAAAACTTTTACTTTATCTGATTAATTTTTTATAATCAGATTCTGTCATTTTCTCCAGTTCAATCCAAACATGTTTCATGCCACCAAAACAACAGGCACCACTTATAAGAATTCTTTTTATTTTTATTTTACTTTTTTTTTACCATTACCTAGAAATAACCTGTATGGATGGTACCATACTCGAATACTTATCTCCCTCCTGGGGTAGCCTGACCTTTCTGATCAGTGAGCAAGATCTTTATCTTATCTAACAAATCACAGACCTGTAGCTTATTCCCATAATGAGAAGCTTAGACAGGAAGCTCTACCAAGGACTCACAGGAAGCTCAAGATGGGAGATAATACTGTCTCTGCATCAAAAGCTGGACCTCACATATAGCTTCTGCCCTGGATCTGAGCTTCAGAAAGCTCACCTTTCTAATCCACCATGCTTGCTCCTCAAGTTTACTCTGCTCTATTTGCACAGCTCCCATCCATTCTCACACTGATTGAAGGGGAGAAGAGAAGAATGTATTGGAACTAATTTTATGACTTCAAATGATACCTAGAAGAACATCTTGGTTCAATCCACATACAGATAAAATCATACCAGATGTATCTGAAAGTGTTTATGGTTTTTTTTTTTGAACTATCAATGAATCAAAAAAAAAACCTTCCAAACTTTTTTACCTGAAAGCAGTAGTAATAAAGTTTTTATTTCCCATGGTTTGGAACGGGTTGGGCAGCAGTTTCTTTAAATGCCTGGCAATAAATAGTCTGTTATGCTGCCCAATTATAAGATAGATTAGTGGGTGGATTGATGCAGAGTGAGAAAGAAAAAGAAACCAGAGATAATTTTCCACTGAAAAGCCACAGTCATTTTATATAGCTTTTGAAATAGACTTGAAATTAACCCATAAAAAATGGCAATAAATGTCTGAAAAAATTACCACAATACATATGTGTTCTAAGGGAAGTCTGTAGAAGCAGTTGGCTGGATGTTTCCCTCTCTCTTTCCAGCTGCTCCTGATTCAGACGATGTTGCTCTCTATGTTGGGATTGTGATAGCTGTAACCGTTTGTCTGGCGATCACTGTTGTGGTGGCCCTGTTCGTGTATCGGAAGAACCACCGTGACTTTGAGTCTGACATCATTGATTCCTCAGCACTCAATGGCGGCTTTCAGCCTGTGAACATCAAGGCTGCCAGACAAGGTCAGTGGGCTTTCTACACTATGAGTTATACTTTGGAGTGAGCAGTGTGACCACTTACCTACAAACTCAGTGGCATTTCTATCATCCAGCTGACCCAGAATATTAGCTGAGCGAACGGCAGAGATTTTGGCTCTGTTCCTTATAGAAATGAAATCACTCTATACAATCAGTCACAGCTGTTGAGATGTACAGGTCATTCTTGGATTGCTTTTTTGACAAGTACCTCTGTCCTGCTTTTTAACTTCTATTTGAAAGAATAAGTTTATTGATTCATTGATTTTTCTGGTCCCTGTTCCCCTTCTTATAATGCTATTAATGCAGTGATTTACAGATGAATCCAAATACAGCATATGCAAGCAAAGCCATTACAAGACAGTGACTCAGGAGCTCATATTGTTCTTTCTAGTCTATTGAAATAGCCAAATATCTTAAATGTCATGATTAGAACCCAAGGCAAAATATAGAAGGAGCCAGGTTAACCATTGATGGCTCATGGCAAGGAGGATGTGGACACTATGCTTGTCCTGTATTCCAGAGCCTTTGATCTGTCCACCTGCACTGTTAGCAGAGCAGCTTTGCTTTGCATTAAACCTGTGAAGTCATATCTTGCTAGCCTAGCTTGGTCTGAATGGAAAATGCAACAGAATTCTTTTGTCTTTTTACCTCAGATCTCCTGGCAGTCCCCCCGGACCTCACCTCAGCTGCAGCCATGTACAGGGGACCTGTCTATGCTCTGCATGATGTCTCGGACAAAATCCCAATGACCAATTCTCCAATTCTAGACCCACTGCCCAACTTGAAAATCAAAGTGTACAACAGCTCAGGTGCTGTCACTCCCCAGGATGACCTTGCTGAGTTCTCATCCAAGCTATCACCCCAGATGACCCAATCCTTGCTAGAGAATGAAGCCCTTAACCTGAAGAACCAGAGTCTCGCAAGACAGACTGACCCATCCTGCACAGCATTTGGCACCTTCAATTCCCTTGGGGGTCACCTCATCATTCCTAATTCAGGTAATTCCTGAAAGTTTAAGTGACAAAGATGCAGCTCAAAGTCGTATTGGAGTCTCTGTAATCTTATCTCTGTTTATATTCAATCTGAAATGTTAGATATAGTCTACCTCAAAATTCAATTCAGTATATCTCAAGAATTACTTCATATAAAATATGCAAACCTTTTTAATCTCATTAACTAACTCTGAATTTAGTTCCTCTAGAAAGACCTTTCTGCTGAGATGTAGTTCAGGACTGGCACCAACTACCTTAAAGGCATATAATCAACCCAGGCATATAATACAAACCTTAGTGTATTCCTATATTTCAAAAAAAAAACTAGTTAGAAAATGCACTCAGGGCCGGGCGGTGGTGGCGCACGCCTTTAATCCCAGCACTTGGGAGGCAGAGGCAGGCGGATTTCTGAGTTCGAGGCCAGCCTGGTCTACAGTGTGAGTTCCAGGACAGCCAAGGCTATACAGAGAAACCCTGTCTCGAAAATCCAAAAAAAAAAAAAAAAAAAAGAAAATGCACTCAGTTGGTTCAGTCCAGTGTTCTCCAGGAAACTATATTTCAGAAAACTATTTTGTAAATGATTAGAAATATAACAATAGACACAAAATCTTCATTTATTGATGATCCATGATATCATTCAACCAGAGAGTGTCTAAAGTATTTATTCCAGTCTATGATATATTAAGCTACAATTTCAGCTTCACACAATGTCCATTTGTAGTTTTATCTTTTTTTAAGTTTATTATATAGTTTACAAATATTTAAAGAATGAAAAGCACAGAGGTCTTCTGTAAAGAACTGAAACCAGTGGCTCCCAATGTTGAAAGTTGAAATTTATTTTTAGCAGTACTGATGGACTTGCAACCATAGGTTATAACACAGCTAATGTCTAATTTCAGAGTATACCTGACTATTTTGTACAAGACTGGACGTATTATTCAATAAAATAACAAAAATAACTTCACTGACCTATTGTGTTAACGTCATATAAAATTATGTATTATATACACATGCATACACACACACACACACACACACACACAGAAGCACACACATTCTATAAACAAGAATTTCCACCATGCATTCAGAACCAGGATTGCCAGGTCGTCTTGACACCAGCTCAAATTGTTGCAGTATTGTCTGAGGCCAAGCTTTTACAAGGCTCATATCAATAATCCCTCTCATCTCATTGACATAGTTAGCAACAACTGAGAGGTGCTGTGACCTGTTGCAGCTAAGTAAGATGCTGTTGCTCACTTCCTAGAGTTGTGTGTGATAAATTATTCTTGTCTTTAACTCTGCTGTGAAATAACACTGATGCTCACCAGATATTTTAGAGGGGAAAAGAAAGGTTTTCTAATATGGCTGAGGTTAGCGTTCCCCTGACTTTGGATTTCATGGGGAACATTTTTTTTTTTAAATCAAAAACAATGCATCTTTGCAGCTGTTTAAATTTTTAATAGCAGTTTTTTGGTTTCTCCTCGATTTACAAGAAAAATAACAGTGGAACCATCTGTCAATTCCTTAAATAAAACACAAAGTTTCAAAATGACATCACTCTCTTAAGTAATTCCGTAATGGTTCAAAGGGAGCTGTGGCGGACTGCAAGAGAGGGCAGCTATGGACCTTTACATGTCTTTAGGAAGTATGTAAAGACTAGTGCTACATAGGCACAAAATCTCAGTCCTTTTTGCATGCTGCAAAAGCATTCTAGAAGTTTCCTTTTTGTTCATAGGTCTTATACAGTACTTTTCTCTTTTTGCTATTCAGGGGTAAGCTTGCTGATTCCCGCTGGGGCCATTCCTCAGGGGAGAGTCTATGAAATGTATGTAACTGTACACAGGAAAGAAACTATGAGGTAAATATGGTTTTGTTTTCCTAATTTTTTCCTTAGCAGTATCTAACTTGGAGAATTGCACATAGAAACCATAGAGTGATATACATTTGACTCTAGACCTATACAAAAAAAAAGTCAAATTTTACTTCTCTTTCCCTTTGAAGCTTCAGGTGCTACATATCCTATGGAATTCTAGTGATATTTTCTATGAATATCTATGAGTAGACACATAGTTCTTTAGCAGAAAAATATGGCCAAAAACATGATTCATAGATTATCTGAAGAGATGTGTATATTTACAAAGATACTCTGGCTTCTTGTGACCTGAATCAAGAATCTCACCCTTGTAGAAATAAAAAGTCACAAAAGTGTATAACCCTTAGTACTCCCACATGCTCCTCCCACCTCAGCCTAGCACAACCCATGACATGCACCTCCCACTTCAACCTAGCACAACCCATGACATGCACCTCCCACCTCAACCTAGCACAGCCCCTGACATGCCCCTCCCACCTTAACCTAGCACAGCCCCTGACATGCCCCTCCCAACTCAACCTGGCACACAACCTTTGTGTATAGATTTTTATCTTTGTAATTCTCCTCCAGCATAAGAGTCATCAACCTTCATATCCTTAGCTTATATAATTAGACCTTCCAAGATGAGCCTAGTGTTGACTAAAACTACACTGACTCCAAAGGTTCTATTTAGGATGTGACATGTTCATCCATATGAAGCTATTTTAAGTAAAAATAATAAGAACAGGTTAGATGTTCTAAATTCGATTTTCTGTTTAACTTCTGACATGGCAGAGATGGACTTCCTTGATTAGTTTCCATATAAAGTCTCTCTCTCTCTCTCTCTCTCTCTCTCTCTCTCTCTCTCTCTCTCTCTCTGTCTCTCTCTCTCTCTCTCTCTCTCTCTCTCTCTCTCTCTCTCTCTCTCTCTTTGAGTGTGTGTATGTGACACTGCATTAGAAACCTAGATGGTTAATGCTTTCAAAACCACATTGACATCTTTTTTCCCTTTTTTTTATTAGATATTTTCTTTATTTACATTTTAAATGTTATTCCCTTTCTTGGTTTCTCCTCTGAAACCCCCCATCCTATCCCTCTCTCTGTTTCTATGAGAGTGTTCTCCTATCCATTCATCCACTCCTGCCTTCCTGCCCTGGCATTCTCCTACACTGGCGCATCAAGCCTTCATAGGACGAAGGGCCTCTGCTCCAACTGATGCCAGATAAGGCCATCCTCTGCTACATATACAGCTGGTTCCATGGATCCCTCCATGTGTACTCTGGTTGGTGGATTAGTCCCTGGGAGTTCTGCAAGGTCTGGTTGGTTCATATTGTTGTTCCTCTTACGGGGTTGCAAACCTCTTCAGCTCCTTCAGTCCTTTCTTTAACTCTCCATTGGGAACCCTGTGTTCAGTCCCATGGTTGGCTGAGAGCATCCACCTCTGTGTTTGTCAGGTTCTGGCAGAGCCTCTCAGGAGACAGCTATATCAGGCTCCTTCCAGCAAGTACTTCTTAGCATCCACAATAGTGTCTGGGTTTGGTAACTGTATATTAGATGAATCATCTTAAAACAAAAGATATTTTCAAAATTGAAATACTCATTGTATAAGGACCACCACTGGCCTCAAAGAAAAGCATTCTCAGGTCCAGCTCTGAGCAGAGTGACAAATGTAGACCAGGTGACTCATGCACAGTCACTCCTCATACTCAACCTCATCCTCAGGAAGCCTGTTCTTTTTGGTTCCCTACCTTGGTAGCTGAAAAAGCTCTTTTGTTATGCACCCAGGTAGAGATGCAGGTATTTTTAACAGTATGACCCAGAACATTTTCCCCTCTGGTAGTATCCTTCCATCTACACAAACAACAGCCAGACCAAGAAGCTAAAAAAAAAAAAAAAAAAAAAAAAAAGAGAGAGAGAGAAAGAGAGAAGGAATTCTTGAGCATTATTCATGTCTTTAATTCAAGCTACAGAAAATCATTTTAGATAGATGATAGATAGATGATAGATAGATAGAGAGAGAGAGAGAGAGAGAGAGAGAGAGAGATCGATAGATATAGATAGATAGATAGATAGATAGATAGATAGATAGATATAGATATATATCCCAATGTCTTATATCCTATAGTTTACAAATCCAGTCATTTTCAAATGGTTCTTCCTCATTATTTACATTTCAATTTTACTATCACCACTGTCAAACGTCTCCTTATCTTTGATTTTAAAGATTTCCATGGCTTATGTTAAGATTATACCATGGCTTATTTATCTTTATACATATTCATTCTCTAGTTCAAAAATACTCAATGAACAGTCACTATGTGTCTGTGACCCATGTGTCAGATACAAACCATGTGCCTAGCTTATTCTTTCATGTTTAGCTTCATTTCAACGTAAGTCAGAATAAGAGTGTTTTCCATGTGCCTGCTTCCCAGCCTTGTGTCCTATGTACTCCTCTGCAATACTTCTGGCCAGCTAAGAAAAATTTTTTGTTCTGTTGTAATTTTCACCTATTATTCCTCTGCCTTCAAGCCTGGAACACTCCTCTCTCACCTCTCTGCAGCCCAACCCAAGCCAGACCTCCAGGAAGGCTTACTGCTCCCTCTTCCAGCAGATCATATCACCACATCTCTCTTTAAAAAAAGTGTTAGTCCCATATCATTAAGTAGTCCATAAACGGCTGTGGCTCCCCATAGATTACAAATAGAGTCCTATTCGTTTTCACATTTGGGATTTCTGAACTGATTGATCCTTTAGGCTGGCTGATTGAAGAAATTTCATGGCCAGTACAGGATACATTAAAAAAAAAAAAAAGAAAAAAGGAAAACTTGACTTTCAGATCTGTTTTGTCCACAAGAATTGATGAAGGACAATATTTTGGTCTAAGTGGGATTTTAAAAAATTTATTCTAGAAACAGGAAAAGGGGGCCACATTTGTACAAGTCATAGAAATTGTATTCATGGGGAAACTGAGACTTTGTATTTTTTTCCAGAACTCTTACAAATTCAGCCTTACAATTCTTCACCTTCTTTGGTCAGACATGATTTGTCCCATCTCTGGTTCATTTAGGTCAGACATCTGCCAGTCTGGGCTTTGTGTAGAGCACATTCAGTAATGATAAGGCCCCATTTGTCACATTCACTAGGCCACATGTAATTAAGTTCACGCCTCCCTTCAGACAACTCACATCAGCAGATGACCAGCTGGGTGCCATCCAGCTGGAAACACACCCAGTTCTGGATGCCATGAAAGGAATCAGAGAGAAAGAAAATAAAATAACGTTCACAGTTCTGCTGCAAATGCCTTCAAGTGGCACGCATCTGGTCTCCTTGCCCTGGCTTCTCAGACAGTTTTTATCTGTGTTACATAAAGATTGTTAAGGTCTTCACTGAGCAATGGCAAACGCAGCCAGAATGTAAGAAAATGAGAAGGTGGAGGCAGGGTTTGTGGAGTAGTATACACAGGAGTGATGTCACCTTGGAAAACAGAAGAGCTCTGGGGACAGGTGAGCTTGGGTTATATTTAGCTCTCCTCAGTCACTGAGTAAGATGTGTTGCTGAGACTTGATTCCCCAGGAATAAGTTCCTTCACCTTTAAAGTGGGATTCGCCATGATGTCTATAGAGTCTCACTAACATAGAAACACATGTAAGACCCTGAAAAATGAACATCAGTGATAATTTGTATTAGTACTCATTCTGAAGTACACTTCTACTGTGCTTTTACAGGGAAAACACATTGCTGTTATAATAGAAAGTCAGTACCGTGAGGTCTTCTCATGAATTTGAGAGGACATCTTGTGTTCTAGCTTTCATTAGTAGTCTCTGATGTGCATTTCCTTTTGGGGTGTATGAATTCATGTGTAGATGTTAAATGTGGACTTCAGGTGTCTCCTCAATGTCTCTATACTTTTATTTTTCTGAGACAGAATCTCCTACTAATGGGGGAGGGGGGTGCGAAATAGTCAATCTGTCCAAACTGGCTTACTGGCAAGCCTTTGGATCATTCTGTCTCTACTGTCCCATTGCTAGGATTATGGGCATGTGACACAGTATATGTGTATGCTGGATATCAAATTAAGGCCCCTATGCTTTTGTTGCAATCACCTTATACCCTGAGCCATCTCCCCACCCCACCTCCTGCACATGTTGATTTGAGGTCTTAAGCTTTCTCCACATACACAACTTGCCTGATTCAAATCAAGTTCAATAGAGTAACTGTGTATCTTTTATTTAAAGTCAAAGGCTTTGGAATCTTAAAGAAGAGGTCTTTGACCTTATCAATATTCTGTTTTCTTCGCTTTATCCAAAATGTACAATCACTCTTCTGACTAGGATACTCTGAAAGGATGGAAAGGAAAACTATGGGAGATGGGAGTGGGTACCCCATGCTGTGGCAGCACCCCAATACATCTTGGGCTTCACCTGAAGATATTGAAACTGGGTGAATACAGGAAGCCATGAACACTGCACGTTATTGTGGCAAAAATATGAGTTCATACTTCTGTCAAAACACCAGATCAACAGAATCTGTTTAATATTTACCCTGGCTTAGGACAAGTGAAAACAAAATAAAATAAATCAGTCTCAGAGTTCATTAATTACTTTTCTATGTATGAAAATTAATTATTCTTTATATTCAAAGGTTTGTATTTACTTATGTCAAATATTTTTATTATTCCTAGGGCAGAGCAACATTCACAGATCCTTAGGCTCCGATAGATAGATAGATAGATAGATAGATAGATAGATAGATAGGCTATAGATATATGATATAGATATGATATATGGTATATATACTGATATATATGTATTGATACATATATATACACTGATATATGTATGTATATATATGTATGTATGTATATATATATATATTCTGACATATATAGTACTGACATATATTGATATATATTATTTATTAGTATCAACCATAAAGTAAATTTATAGTCATGTATAAAGTCAGATGAGTGTAGGAATATGAAATAGTAGCACAATGAAGCTCACTTC